CCCTCCCTCCCTCCCTCCCTCCCTCCCTTCTTCCTTTCTTTCTTTCCCCCAAGACAGGGTTTCTCTGTAGCTTTAGTGCTTATTCTGGAACTCACTCTTGTAGACCAGGCTGGCCTCAAACTCACAGAGATCTTCCTGCCTTTTCTTCCCAAGTGCTGGGATTAAAGGCATGTGCCACAACGGCCAGGCCCTGATTTATTTAGGAATAAGATTTTGCCAGATTTAAAATGCACACACCTGTGGTCCCTGCACTTAGGAGACTGAGGCAGTAGGAGTTCACAAGTTCCAGTCAGCCTTACTCAAAACAAAGCCACTGGATATTCTCAGTGGCAGTAGACAGCCATCTGTTATATTCCACTAATTCTGTGTTGCCTTAGGCATGCAGCAGGAGTCCAAGTGCACACTCAGCCCTTCTCTTGCAGGTACGAGAGCGACTACGAGTAGCTCTGGAGAGGTGCAGCTTGTTAGAGGAGGAACTGGGTGCCACCCACAAAGAGGTGAGCTTGGGGTATTGTCATGGGGTTCGACTGAAGGGTTTGATTATTGTTGCTTAATTTAGAAGTGTGAGACAGTAATAGACACCAGAAGTTACTACTTTTCCTAGGTCAGCCTGATGGCGTCACTGGACTCAGCCCTCAGCCTCTAAGTGCCTCTCTGTCCGCAGATGCCAGATGGTTTTTACAGCTCTGCTGGAGACTTTGGCTACACAGCAGTTACAGCACTTGTCTTCCAAAGCCACTGGCCACCTTTTCTTGTTTCTCTTACGTAAAGATCTCATGCTGGTGTGTTCAAATTTTCTGTTTTAGCTAATGATTCTTAAAGAACAGAATAATCAGAAGAAAACACTAGCAGATGGAATGGTTGATGGAAACCATGAACAGGAAAACACACCAAGCACCAATGGCAAGGCAAGTCCTTGACTTTTTTTCTGTGGGGTGTTTGGTTTTGTTTTGCCACATGGGGCTGTTGGGGAATAGTGGCAAAGTCTGTGTCCTCTGGGGAGCATACAGGTTCCTCTGAGGGTCCCTGTTTTTCTGGAGGTATGCCAAACAGACTGCCATAAGGCTATGCTTTTCAGAGATCTTCCGACGGCTCCTTGAGCCACGAGGATCTTGCCAAAGTGCTGGAGCTGCAGGAAGTCATAGACAGGCAGGCAAGAGAGCAGAGCCAGATGAAGGAGCGCCTGGCCTCCCTGTCTAGTCATGCAGCGGAGCTGGAGGAGGATCTGGACACAGCTAGAAAAGACCTTATCAAGTCTGAAGAGATGAATACGAAACTGCAGCGAGATGTCCGTGAAGTGAGTGTGGGGTACACTTGACTTCCTGTTGCCTTTGTCTTTTGCTCTCACTTACAGGGACCTTTGGGATACAGATCGTGTGTCCTTCCCTCCTGCACTGCTCTCATGTGGGGTTCACATGCCTCCATTGCTACTGGCTGCTACAGTGTTCTTCCTTGTGTTCTGTTCCTTCTGACTTGTCCACATAACCCATAAACATGGTGTCAGTTATGCTTGTGTAGGGGTTAGAGGGAGTGTGCCAGCTATCTTCTGTCATTTTGGATGGTGTGGTGTTGAGTACTGAGGTTGCTACACTCTGGTCATCAGGGTATTTATGGAAATACATATTTATATATGCACCTCAAAATTATTTTTCCTTGGTAACTATTTACAAGACCCTCATTAATCATTAGAAAAGAAATGAGAGCTGCATGCTGTCTTGTAAAACTCTTTCTGTCCCATCTGAATCTGTCTTTTGTTACCCCATGAGGCCCTGACCTTTTAGCATATGTGAGATCAGGGAGCTTTAATTGTGGAGACGAATGTGATTTGTTGTAAGAATTCAGATCAAAGGAAACACTGTATGTATTATAGAACTTACTAGGTTGTGCTTTCCTTGGGCCACAGGGAATTATTTATGTGTCAGAATTATGTGATATTCTTTTAAGACTTGCTTCTTCAAAAAATATATTAAAGTTTGTGAACAATCACTTGCGAAATAAGAAAGGAGCTAAAAACTGAATTTGGGGATAGCAGACAGATATTAAACATGCCAAAAGTTATGATCCTGGTCTCTGTGTTTGGGCTTTGTAGCATTGATTTTGCTGCTGATTTTTGTTTCATTTGTCAACATGCTTGAGCTTTGCAAGTTTCTCCAGCTCTTACCTGAGGAAATGAAGCAATCTGCCTGCAGTGCTATGTGAGCCTGGTTGTTGTTTGGTCAGACACAGGCTACTCCTTCACCACCAGTGCCATCAGATTCTTGGATGCTTGAAGTGTCATATGAAGTGGTGTTTTATTAATATTGTGTAGTCAAGTACACACTTGGCGACATGAGCAGATTGACCAGGCAAAGCTGCTGATCATTGTGGGTGAATATGCTTAAAGTACATCCATTCTATTCAGTCTGGAAAAACTAACAGTTTATTTTGGGGAAACAGCAGTTTCACACTTGAGATGAGTTTAGTCTTTTTGTCTCCTGAGTGTTCTGATAAGTTCTGCATTTATGACCCCCATTTCCCTCTGGAATCTACAACACAGGCGATGGCCCAGAAGGAGGATATGGAGGAAAGAATCACCACTCTTGAGAAACGCTACCTCGCAGCACAGCGTGAAGCCACGTCTGTGCATGACCTCAATGACAAACTTGAAAATGAAATTGCAAATAAAGACTCCATGCACCGACAGGTACTGGGTTCTGTGGGCTTCTTTCTAGCCTTAATTATTTCCAGCTGTGAAGTTGAAGACCTTTAACCTGTAATGTGCATGTTGGAAATGAAGTCCAGATGTCATTTTCTTGTGAATTACTTTTTACCAGTTTCCTTCTTTTCTTTTTTTGGTATAAGCATGCATCTGTGCCTGTGCATGTTTGTGTGTTCATGAACATGTGCACCTACATGTATGGATGTGTGCATATGGAAGCCAGAGATCAAAGTCAGTGTCTTTTTCTCTATTGCTCTTCACCTTAATTTTAACTCTTTTTAAAATTTAAGATGTATTTTAAAGCTTTGTTTCTATTTTTAATCAGTGTGTTTTGTGTGTGGGTAGGTACCTGTGGAGTTCAGAGGAAGGGATGGGATCCTCTGGAACTGAAGTTACAGGTGGTTGTAAATCAGTGAATGTGGATTTTGGGAATCAAACTTGATCCTCTGGAAGAACAGCAAATGTTCTTAATAGCTGAGCTATTTCTAGAGCCTCTCATGTAAGGTTTTGAGATAGCATCTCTCACAGATTGTGGAGCTCACATATTGTCTAGATTGGCAGAGCAGTGAGTACCAAGGTTCCTGCTATATCTGCCTCCCCAGTGTTGGGATTACAAGCAAGTGGTTTTTGTTTGTTTATATGCTTTGTTTTGTTTTTAATGTGGGTGCTGAGGATTGAACTCAGGTTCTCATGCTTGCATAGCTGGTACTCTGCCCAGTAAGCCATCTCCCCAGCCCTTTCTCTGTTTCACTGGAAACCAATTGCTTCTTCTCAGCCCTTTCACTAAGTAGTGGTAAAGAACTTGTTGGCAATGCTGAACAGTGCACTCAGTAGCTAGACATCAGAGGTTATAGGGCCTGGCAGGTACTGTTCCTCAGGATATGGTCTGAGGTCATTGAGAGTTAACCAGAAAACCCCAATCAACTGATTGAAAGTATTTTATAAAGGATGAAGGGTGTTGCTTGACCAAAAATAAATTAGGCAGCCGTGAAAACTGCTGTTGTGAAGCAGTGCAGAAACTGTGGTGAGACCTGGATTGTGTTGTGCTCGTACACAGAGCTGGATGGGGATGGTGCCCACAGACAGGAGCCCCTGTGCTTGCACTATCCACTTGTACTTATTTAGATTTCTGCAGTGGGTTTTCTATCCAAGCATTTACAGAGCAGCCCAAGCAGCTTGCCATGGCCTGTGCTTTCAGGCAGCTCTCTGGGCAGCGACTCCTTTTCTGTCAGAATGAGGAACTCTGATGAATAACTCACATTCCTTTAGTGTATAGGAACTTGTATGTATTGGTTTGGGGTTTTGTTTGTTTTTCAGAGTCAAGGTTTCTTTGTATAGCCCTGGCTGCCCTGGAACTCGCTCTGTAGACCAGGCTGGCCTCTAACTCACAGAGATTCCCATGCCTCTGCCTCCTAGGTGCTGCAGTTAAAGGTATACATCACCACTGCTCCACTGTTTTTTGTTTGTTTTTTTTATTGTTGTTTTGTTTTTTAGATTTATTTATTTATTATGTATACAGTGTTCTGCCTGTACTGCAGACCAGAAGAGGGCACCAGAAGGCAATATAGATAGTTGTGAGCCACCATGTGGTTGCTGGGAATTGAGTTCAGGATCTCTGGAAGAGTAACCAGTGATTTTAACCTTTGAGTCATCTCTCCAACCCTCTGTTGTTGTTTTTATAAAAATAGATAAAAGCTTTGAAACCAGTAGATGCTTTGTTAGGTGTTTGAAGCATCAGCCTGAGCTCTTGGTGTTGTACCCTTTCTAGACAGAGGACAAGAACCGCCAATTGCAAGAGCGTTTGGAGTTGGCAGAGCAGAAGCTGCAGCAGACCCTGCGCAAAGCTGAGACGCTGCCGGAGGTGGAGGCTGAACTGGCCCAGAGGGTGGCTGCACTCTCCAAGGTGTGTCTGGGCTGTGTGGGGTCACATGCTAGGCCTTGTTGTTCTAGTCAGTGCACTGGTGTCTACGGAGCGTCTCTGCTGTTATGTGATGGGAATGCTGTTTCTGTGTAGCTCAAGACCTATATTCCCCATGAGTCCTCAAACCTGTCAGGTAAAAGCTGCTGTCCTTTGTGCCAGGGTCCAAGAGTCACAACTGATTGGGTTATTTCTCTCACCAACTTGAAGAAAGGCTGTAGCTTCTCTTAGAAAAGGAAGATGAAATTTGTCTTTTAAAACAGTCACATAGTTTTTAAGTAATTTCATTCTTTTGAAATTATTTTAAAATGTTTGTTTGCTCATTGAAATGGAGTCTCACTATCTAGTCTAGCCTGGCCCTCAACTCTTGCCTCTATTGACCTTCCTGTCTCAGCCAGCAGAATGGCTGGTACTTCAGGTTTATACCACAATGCTTAAAATAATATTTTTAATATAATGCTGTTGTTTACACTACTGCTGTTAAGGTGTATGCCCTCTGGGTCCTCACCATCCACAGCGGGGTAGGCAGGAATCAGGAGCTTCGAGAGTAATGGGTGGGTGCCCTGTTTGTGAGACACAGCAGCATGAACAGAGGCTATGTGTGTATCCCCGGCATGAGTCTTGTTTCCCAGGCTTGGTTGCTAGAGAGGGGCCCAGATGGAGATAGCATCCTTTAGTGAGGGAAACCTAGGGTGGGCCCTATCCCCACTCATGCACCTAGGGCTGGACACTGGAGTCCTAGTCAACTGTAATAGAACCTTGCTTCTGTCCTCCCTGGTCCCCTCCTAAAGTCTTGGTTTCTTTTCTCCCTGCTGTCTGTCCTTCCTGTCCTGTTGCTTTGTAGTCTGGTCCTTTGTCTTCTGGGAGTTCTGCTGCTAAGGAAGCTAAACTGTTGGAGCTTACTTCCAAGCTTAGGAAGGTAGAACTGTGCCCTGTGCTTGTGCTTGCTGCTTCCTGCTCTACATGCTGACCTCCAGAGGCACTCAGTGGATGACTTGTCCAAAGGCAGGCCAGTTGGGGGCGGTGGGGAGAGACACACAGAAAGGCAGTTACTAGCACTGCCATGCTTCAAGTCAACCTGAGAGGATGAGTCACTTCACAGTATACACATTGAAACCGCAGAGGTGCTGATGGATATGAGGAAGTGTTGTCCCTTTGCCAGGGCTGACATGGTCCACACCGCATGTGGTGCTTGCTGCTGCTGCTGCTGCAGTAGTGTGTAGCTGGTGTAAATGCAATGAGCAGAGGGTCAGCTTCTGTTATCTTTGCTGGCAGGCTGAGGAGAGACATGGCAACATTGAAGAGAGGCTGCGGCAGATGGAGGCACAGCTGGAGGAGAAGAATCAGGAACTGCAGCGGGTATGGATGGGGCTGAGTCTGGTTTGAGTTGGGACACAGGCTACTGTGGGCTTGGGCTTCTCTGTCCCAGTTCCTTCTCCCGTCCAGTTCTTGTCCTGTGGAGCTGTGTTCTGGTCTTTCCGGACTGCACCAGCGTGTTTGTTACACACCTGCTGTTGTGTCAGCATTGGTGGCAGCAGAAGTGTAGGGCAGTTCTTAAGTCAGGCTTCTTGAGTTCCACAAGACTTCTCACTTTTCTATCCCTTGAAGGGAACTGCCAGATTGCCCCAGAGTAGTGGTTCTCAACCTTTCTAATGCTGACTCTTTTAATACAGCTCCTCATGTTGTGGTGACCCCCAACCATAACATTATTTCATTGCTCCTTCATACCTGTAATTTTGCTACTGTTATGAATTGTAAATATCTGCTATGCAGAATGGTCTTAGGCAACCCCTGTGGAAGGGGTTGCGACCTACCATTTGAAAGACACTTTCCTAGAGCCTGAATCTAAAACTCAAGGCCCGTCTCCTTAGGTTACTGGCCCTGATCAGCATGAGGGACTGAAGTCCCATGTTCAGGCCAGAGCACTGACCCTGTTTTCAGATCCTGAGTTGTCGCTCAGGATGTAATGGTGTCAGACCAGGGGGTGTACCAATGCTCACCTGCCTTAGAAAGCAGCTGAGAGACTGTTGTTTTAGCTGGGTCATAGGGCTTGTCCTGGAAGATGCAGGCAGAGGCATCAGGACACAGGGCAAGAAACAGTCCTGGGCCCTTTATGCTCTAGAGGGAGGAAGCCTGGGTGTGTGACTGTGGAACCTTTGCACGACACAGCAGCCAGTGTTTCCCATCAGTTTAAGGCTGCACAGACCTAGGGAATCTTGTGGGAAATAATGGTTTTTAAGCTCCTGTATGAGGTCTTAGGCAGCATAGGCTTAGGTACATTGTCACAGAGCCTGTGAGGCTTATACACAGTGTCACTGAGCCCTGAATAGACAATCACGTTTATACTTGAACTTCCAGCTGTTTGACTTTGAGAGCATTCAAGTGTGGACAGAAACAGGCACACTCTTCAGAGAAGGGCTGTTAAGTGCCAGCCTGGGAGGCGTCCTCACATGTGAGAGCTATTTTCTGTTGGGCACAAACCTGAGGGTCTTGGGAGGTTCTACCACCCATGCTTCCCCCAACAGGGTTGCTGGGCCTGGTACAGCCCTTCCTTGAGGATTCAGTCCTGTCTGGGTGCTGGAACTTGAGTGAGATAGGTTTGGGTGTGTGCTGAGCAGGCATAACTCTAGCCTTGAGTTAGCACACTGTAAAGTTACTATATTGCCATTTGTAGTTTTGAGTGTAGGTAGAGACACCCTGCATCTCCCCGACTAAAGATCAGCTTGTTCAGCTTTCACTTTGTACATTTAATTCTTTATTTTATTCATACCAAAAGAAATACCTGGGTCAATATGCAAATGAACTGATCCCCTCAAGTTTCTTCTGTCTGCTCAAGGAACTCTGCTAAGTGAAATTGAGAGCTAGAGGCTGGTGATATTCTCGAGATGTTCATAGGTCTTGGTTTAGCAAAAAGAATCAACCCCTTCTAGTTCACAGCCTCACCATGGTTGTCTTGAGTTTCTCATGTCCCAGAGGTAGTTGGCACCTGAAAGTCCCCTGTGGATGAGAGGAAGGAAGCACAGCCTCTGGTGGCCATTGGTCCTGGTGCTTATGAAGGGCCAGACATGAGCCTGAAGTTGGAATCTTTCTCCTCCTGTTTTAGGCAAGGCAGAGAGAAAAGATGAATGAGGAACATAATAAACGCTTGTCTGACACTGTGGACAAGCTGCTCTCGGAGTCCAATGAGAGGCTGCAGCTGCATCTGAAGGAGAGAATGGCGGCGCTGGAGGACAAGGTGGGCAGATGAGTTACTGTGCTGTCAGGGAATATGGCTCGGGACATGCTCTTCTGCAGACAGGGGAAGACATTAGCTTCTTTCTGTCACCTGCTAGCTAGTGACTGGCTGTGTTTCTGCCCATGTGAGTGTTATTTGTATGTTTGTCCTCCCCTTAAGTTTATTTATGTGTACTAGTGTTTTGCATGCATGTATGTCTGTACACTACTTAGCACGACAGGTACCCAAGGAGGGTCTTGAATCCCTTGGGACTGGATTACAGCTAGTTGCCATGTGGTGCTGGATATCAAACCAGGGCCCTCTAGAATAATAATCAGTGCCCAAGTATTGATTACCAGTCTTGACCTGTAGGATGGAGAGGCCAGTGGCTCTCACAGAGGGCCAGGTAGAAATAAAATACATCTGACTTTCAGTGCTAGCTTGATCATGCCATTTTGTTCTCATCACTCTACACAAGTAGCTTAGTCAGAACCTGTATGAATAGTGTGCTTTGTTCTATTACCATTGTACATAAGCTGCATGTGGTGTGCACACCCTGCTCCATCCACTCTGGCTGAGGCAAGAATCTTGAGTTTGGAATCAGCTTGGACTACATAGTTAGTGTCTTAGTCAGGGTTATATTGCTGTGATAAAACACCTTCACCAATGCATCTTAGGGAGGAAAGGATTTGTTTGGCTTAAGCTTCCACATCACTGTTCATCATTGAAGGATATCAGGATAGGAACTCAAGCAGGGCAGGAACCAGGAGGTAGAAGCAGATGGAGAAGCCATGGAGGGGTGCTGCTTATTGGCTTGCTCCCCGTGGTTTGCTGAACTTGTTTTCTTATAGAACTCTGTTGAAGATCATGGAGCATTAAAGTAAATACAGCCTTTGTCTATTGTGTTGATTCATAATCTTAGGAAAACAAGCTAAAAATACATTTTCAATGACAAAGTTGTTATAAGTATAAGAATAACAGTCGTGAGAACAAGAAATCTGTCAAAATTAATGTACAGAAATAAATGAAGCTAAAGTATCTGTAATGCTTTCCATAATATCCATTCCAGTCTTATAGGTAACCCTTTTGAGCAAGTTCCTTAATTTCTTGCTGTAAATCATAAATCATTTGAGAAGAATTAGGGAGACTCATTAAATGTATCTTAACCTTTTACCAGTTGTCTTAGTTAAGGTTTCTATTGCTGTGAAGAGACACCATGACCATGACAACTCTTACGGAGAAAACATTTATTGAGGTGACTGACTCACTTACATTGAATTCTGCTACCCATTCAAATAGGATTTCCTGGTACATGATTTCCTTACCCTCTTCCATAGACTCAGCAGGTTCTTGGTTATCATAAGGACCAGGTAACCAAGAAGATTCATTAACCACACAGGGCTCTCCTTATCTCCCCAACTCACTCCCGTGTTAGTTGGTAGATTAGGAATATAGTACCAATATGTCCTCATTACCTGTACAGTTACCATAGATAGCAAGGAACAAAGTGTGGCATTCAAAGGTTCCCTAGCCACCCAAACTACTCTTCTCCTTTGTCAGATAATTTCTTTCTTTCTTTCTTTTTTTTTTTTTTTTTCGAGACAGGGTTTCTCTGTGGCTTTGGAGCCTGTCCTGGAACTAGCTCTGTAGACCAGGCTGGTCTCGAACTCACAGACATCCGCCTGCCTCTGCCTCCCGAGTGCTGGGATTAAAGGCGTGTGCCACCATCGCCCGGCTTGTCAGATAATTTCTTAAGCAGTCCCCAAGTAGGAGAATCAGCCATCAACTTCAAAGGCTTTCTGTATCTCTTTCTTGTACAATTTTTTTTTTTTGTCTCCTACAGAAACATAAGCATAACCTCAGGTCTATCACAACACTTTTCCTGGTTTCCATTTTGATGTTAAAACATCCTTGTAGTACACAGGCTGACTCAATTCAGCAGTTTTTTCCCAGCTCAGTGCCTTTTAGCAGCTGTCCCTGCTTCATTAGCATTTAAAAATTGAAAGTTAATAAAGCATTATGGGATCTATCTCTGGGAGCCCTCATATTCCTCTTCTGTTTAAGAAGCATCTCTTTTAGAGTATGATTAGATCACCCAACATCTGCTTGTCCTGTAGGATTACATGGTATCCCTGTAATGTGTTTTATGTTATAATGTGCAAAAAATTTGTTTTATTTTATTGAATACATAAACAGGGACATTATCAGTTTTTGTTGTAATGGGTCCTAGAAAGGAAATATATTTTAACTGTATGACAGTTAAGTTTCAGATATAGTACAGTGGTATTTTGTTGGTGTTTTTAGGGACCTGTATCATGCCTGGTGCTGTGTCCTTGAGCTGACTAGTTAGGGAGAGGCATTGTACATGTCTCTAGTGCATTTTGAACACAGATCTTTACATACCTGACAGCAGAGAATGTTCAAGACAAGACAGCCAAATTTTCAGATATTAGTTGATGTTCACTTATTATTAGTTATGCATTAGAAGCTTGGAATGTCTCAAATTTGTCATTATGCTGTATAAAACAATGCCTTTACTAAAGGACAGGCACTCAGGAGCCTCTTAACTATTTTCTTTTCGCCAGACTCTGCTCTTTTATCAGACCAAAGGAAAGCATAAAGCTAAAAAGCAAACAACATCCATTTAATTAACAATAGTCATCAATTTTTAAAGATTTAAGCTTAATGATTTTAATCTAAGATTTGGTATCTTTAAACTTTTAGGACAATTTTAATTATGAGCTTAAGACTTTCCTACTAGGTAACAGGATATTTAGAAATATCTAAGATAATCATAGAAAATCCTGAAATAAAAAACAATTGGGTTTTTCTATGCAAGCACGAAAGTACCTGTTTATTCAGTTGATCCTCTACATGAAACAAAATTGTGAGCAATCTCAAAACAGTTCCATGGAGGAAGGATTTGTTGGGAGGCTTAGCCTTGAAGACATACAGCCAAAGCTTGTTCCTGTAAATGAACTGATTTGTACTTAGCATAGCTACAAACTTAGTTCTGAGCACATTAAAAAATTTGACCATTTATAAGGTGATTAATTTGCATGTTTTAATTATGTTTTAACAGTTTATGACAAGTTAGTAACTTTTATACGATTAAAATTTTACAATTTTAGACATACATTTCTAAGTTAATTTTTGTTAACCCGAGTATGCCTTTGTAACCTTAGGAATTTATCATCATACAAAAATCTATTTTAATCCAAGATAATAATAAGCAGAGGGCTTATTAGTACCAAGAAATTTTATGGGTTTTGTCTTTTTACCAATAACAGCTGTAGCTGTTCTTGGCTTTTTCTCCTAGGCAGGTTTTTTTTTTCCCCTGCTAGTATTTTTTTCTTTTTTTCTTTTTAGTGGCAAAGGCACCTGCAGTTCAGTATTACTGTCATGTTTTAGTAAGATTGGATTTTTTTAAGCAAGGAAACTGAGCTGAAGATGCACATTAAGCCTTTTTTAAATTTTTGTTTCTTTCTTTCATTTCTGTCTCCAGACTACTCATGTTCCATCCATTCTAACTTTCTGTTCATTAGACTCCTTTCTCAAGTTCCTCTTTCCAAATGTTTTCTTTCCATTATATCCTTCCTACATTTACAATTCTCCGTAGAATTCTTTTTCTTAAGTTAGATTGCTTTCCATTCTCAGTGCATCTCTACCCTTCATGTGCTAATTTATACATGAAGTAATGTTTTTCATTTCTTTTTCCACTGGGAAGGACCTTTTCCCTTGATCTATTCTTTGTTTCAGGAGCCATTTTACTTATATCTGTAATATTTTCAATAATTGTGCAGTTAATGCCTTGCCTTTCCTTTTAACAAGCACTTTAGCAGACGAACATATTGCTACTCCTGAGATGGGGCTTCCCTGTTGTAACTGCCTAATCCGGGAGTCCTCACTTACTAGTGAGCAAACTTTTTATCTCTAGTCCTGGAATGTCTGGATCCTTCTTTTCTCTGTGCCTCATGTTTGGCACCAAATGTCCCATGTTCTGTGTTATGCAGGTCAGTCGGACAGTTGAAGAAAGAGAGTCACTCCTGCATGTTTTATGGCTTTAGCAGAAACAAGAGTCAGCTTGGATGCTTCTGTATTCACAAAAGCCTCTTTATTGTTGTTACACAAGAGACACTTTTAGCAAGTCAGTTTCCGAATGCCAAAACTTCTTATCTGGAGTTGTTTGCCAGGTCTCTCTCCAGACTAAGTTATGCAAAGGCTCTGAATTGTCAGAAGAACTCAGATAACAGTCACTGATTATTTAGGAAAGATTACTTCAAAGGCCAGGTGCCATCACTCCTGGATTCAAGCCAGATACAGTGCATCTGTTAAATTTCCTACTACAGAACCCAGTAATACCAGCCTAGGGATGCCCTCACCTACAATGCCCTCTCACCTCAGTCCTAATTAAGAAAATACCCTACAGGCTTGCCGGTGGCAGCTCTTATAGAGTCATTTTCTCAATTGTGGCTCCCTCCTCTCTGACTAGTATTCGAGCTTACATCATTGATAGAAAACTAGCCAGCACAGTGAAGCTTGGTTTTCCTAATTTTTTTTTTTGACAGAAGTGGGTTCTAGCTGACTTAGCTATACTAGGGCTTAGCTTGACCAAACCTCAACCGTATCTGCACTTTGATTGGGAGTCAGTTTCCTTTTCATTACACATGCAGCACTTCAAGAGCATAGCACAGTAGAGGGGATCTGGTCAGCTCAACTAAGGTGCTCCCTGGTTTCAGCAGTTGCCTCTCTTTCATTCATCCCTGGTTTCATATTGCTCTTGGTGCCTCCCATGGCCATACCCTTCTTTCAGGGCTGCTCTCTGGTTTAAGTGGGCGCAGCAGGTGTGTTTTATGGCCCATTTTAAGAACCAGCCCTGAAGGACATTCTCTTTTTCAGAATTCTCTACTACGGGAAGTTGAGAATGCAAAGAAGCAACTGGAAGAGACACAACATGATAAGGTACTTCACTCTCCAGATCAATAGAAGGTCCAGAAGAGCTGACTTCAGTTATTGCTGTGACAGTGACCATAGGTGTTTAGAAGGAAATGAGACAAGCCTTCCTGGTAGTTCTCTTAGTCCTCACAACGTGCAGCCCCTCAGTGAGCATGCTGAACACTTTGTGTACATGGTCCACAACCCTGGGTCCTTGAGGGGGTCTGTTTGAGACTAACATTAGCATGGGCCTCTTGTAAGGGACAGGGCCAGCAGGGATCTGCTGGGTGAGCAGGGGTGGAAGGTGATAAGACTTTTATGCAGTCAGTGCATTTTACACTTCGGCAATTGTCCCTTTTTAACTCTCCAATCACCAGGAGCACTGATTTTTATTAGGGCATCCGTGGATTTAGAGACCTGAGTTCTGCTTGCTCTAGGACGCAGAAAGTTCTCAGAATTGAAATGCACCGGTCCTTATGAGAGAGCTGTCATATAAGCTGTTTACTGTTTCCTAGGACCAACTTGTTCTGAATATTGAAGCCCTGAGGGCTGAGCTGGACCAGATGAGACTGAGAGGCCCTTCACTTCATCACGGGTATGGTGATCACAGATGGGCAAGTTTTCAGCCCTGTGCATGCACAAGGGCTTGTTGCTGCCTCTGTGGGCAGCACAGTGGAGTTTCAGAAGGTGGGAAGAAGTTCCTTGGTATTTGGATATGCTGACTGAGGTGCCCATTGGAGGGAACATGATTAGAGTGAGGAACAGGCCTGATAAAGAAGTCATAGTGCACTGTTCAGAGTCCATTGCTCATGGGTTTGGTGTTGCATTTGGAACTATCTTGTGAAAGGACACTGTTGCTGCTGTGGGGTGACTCCACTCCTGACAAGGCCACAGCACTTAATGTAGAGCCCTAAAGGACTCTTGTCTTCTTGTAGAAACAGTTCTCGCTGGGTCTTACTATTCTGGCTTTATTTCTTATGAGAGTTGATCTTCAGTAGAAGTTACTGAGATGGTCACTTGGTGACACTATTGGGTAGCAAACAGACTTTCTCTTGGAGCAGGCAAGGGGACAGTGTAGGGCCTGTGCAGATGCCTCTGCATTTAGAGTTTAGGGTGTTGTATAAGCTAGGCTTCCTGCAGCCTCTCTTTACCTGACCTGTTTTACACCAGAAGAGGTGCCCGTACAGAACTAAGAACCCTCAATGCAAAGCCAGAGGGAGAGGTGGGTTACTGCACTGGAAGAGATGAAAAGGGCCTTTGGGACAGAGTAATCATGACCAAAGTGATGGAGAGAGGCAAGTGCCATCACTGCAGCAGCAGACCTGCTGTTGGGAGCTAGTAAGCATCACTGTAAGAGACTTGCTCTCTTTTTTTAGAGAAATATATTTTATTTTTAATTGTGTGTGTGTGCGCACGCGCGTGTGTGTAGTGCCCACAGAGACCAGAAGAAGGCATTGGATCTCCTGAAACTGTTCTGAGCATCTGACTTGGGTGCTGGGGACCACACCCAAGACTTCTGGAAAAGCAGTACTTGTTCTTAACTGCTGAGTCATTTTCCTTTTATTGAAACAGGGTCTCCCTTTGTAACCCAGACTGGCCTCAAATTCATGATCCTCCCACCTTCCCTAAGTGCCAGGATTCAAGTGTGTGCCACCACAGCTGGCTAATGTGTGATTTCCTTTAACAAGGAGTTTTAGATTTGACAGGGGCTTGATATGGAAGAAAGTGTGCTCTGCAGTAGGGCACAGTTCAGGTAACAGGAGAGGAGTGTGGCTTTGGGAGCTCCACCTTCCCCATGGCCCTGAGACACTGGGTAGAAGAGAGAGGAGCTGGCAGGTTGCAGGGGTGGAATTGAGGCACACAGCAGCAGGTGGGGAACACTGGCTAGTTTCACAGAACTTGACAGTGACCTAAGTCATATTGGTATGATCTGCCCCACTGAGGAGTGGACTTGGGGAGGTAAGTTCGAAACAGCTTGAAAAGTAGGAGGGCTTACAGCTCAGATCCCAGAGCTGCCTGTAGTTAACACAAGTGTGCTCAGCTCCTCAGCTTGGGACGCGGACTGGAACCATGTTGAGACAGTAGGTTCCTGAGGATTAAGATGTGGGGATGTGGGAGAGAAGTGGAGTTAGAAAGGAAGCCATGAATCTCATGTCTTTAAAAACATGGAGAAGATGAGGTGTCAGTGATGCCAAAGGGGATGAGTTGGCAAGACCTATGTGCAAGAGTTCCCCTGGGACTTCTGCCCATAGATCCTTTGTTCTTGGCCTCTGGCAGAGTTCTGAAGTGAGGACATCTGCCTTCTTTCCCAGGAAGTTTTAGGGGCAGCACTGGGAGGAGGGGAGAGGTGGATGCTGAGGTTGAGCTCCTGCTGCTCTGCTTCCTCTCTACACCTTGGCTGTAGGAACAGCCAGTGGTCAGATCCTCCTTGGTTGCTCAGTTGTCCCCTTCTCTAGACATTTCTTCAGCCCAGGATGTGAAGCCCTCTGACGCTATCTGTGCACCACTGTGTTAAGCCCTAGCTTCTAGCTCCTCCTGGGAGTGCTGTGACTCTCAGCTTGAATTTGGCATAGCAGAAAAGCCACAGGGCAGGTGATGGCAACAAGTGGTGCCTAGGTGTGCCCTTGATCTGGAAGAGGCTCTCAGATGGGCCTCAGGTGTCCACACCTATCCCTCCTCCCATTGTCGTAATAGAGTGGGTTTTTCTGGCTAGGACTGGGTAGCTGAGAGCTCTTGGGCAGGTTCAAGAGGACCCTCCTTGGAGACCTTTCCAACATGACACTTTACTTTCCTTCTGACACCCACCTTTTCCCATGTTTCAGCCGACCCCATTTGGGCAGCGTCCCGGACTTCAGGTTCCCTGTGGCAGACGGGCATGTGGATGCTTACAGCACCAGTGCAGTGTTGCGGCGACCCCAGAAGGGCCGGCTGGCAGCGCTGCGGGATGAGCCCTCCAAGGCAAGGCCTCCACTTGCGGAACGTCACCTGTTCCTCTTGGACAGACTCTGGGTCTCCTTCTTCCCCCATGTTCCTTTCCTTGGCTTTTCTGGCTAAGAGCTTGCTTTTAGGGTATGCTTGCTTTTTGGTTTTAGTTCTTTCTTTAAGAACAGAATTTTTAATAAGATATCCTTTAAGTTAATGCTGATTAGTATGTACTTGAAATAGTAAATAAAAGCAAATGATGCCAGGTGTAGTGGCACAGTGTGCACCTGTAATCTTAGTACTCAAGAGGCTGAGGCAGGAGGATTGCCATTAGTTCAAGAGTAGTACACAGCTGCAAGCAGTGAGCAGTACAGTATGTACCTAGCTAACTCTACAGCCGGTACCATGAAGTTCTGTGCCGATGGCATGACTATGCATTTTATGGGCTTCAGGATCTAGGAGCAGCATGCTTCAAGGTTTCAGGGGCTTGTAAATGGGAAAGGATTGGCAGTGTGGACTGAGTGTAGGCCAGAGGCTTCAAGCTCTTGTTAATGGACCTGCATGAACTCCCTGAGGTCCTTGCGGTATGCCACTGACCCTTTCAGAGCTCACATTTGAAGAAAGCCAGGAGGAAATCCAGATCCTCTATAACCTGGTCTGGGAAAGCCACATGCCTTTTTATCAGATACTCCCTCCATTACTGGGAGTCATTATGGTCTGTCCCCACATAGGGAACCACAGAATTGCCCTTTACTTGGAGAGAGGAGTATTATTTTCAAATTGCTGGAGTATGCTGGGGGTTAGAAGCAGGAGGCAGTTGGGTATCATGAACACCTGGACTGTAGTAGCCAGGTGTCACTCTAAGTGTTACAGGCTAGGAGAATGATAAGCCAGGAGGGGTGGGGCCAGGGGCAAGCCAAATAGCCTATTCATGGAGGACAGCAGCCAAGCCTGAGCCTGTGTGGGCTGACTGCATGGACAAGTGGGCGAACAGAAGGCAAAATGGTTGATAAGGGCTGGTTGGCACGGCCCTGGAGCAGCTCTTCTGGAGGAAGGTGCTCTGCCCACTTGAGTGAGCCCTTGTGAGTGGTACGACAGAGACAAATGGCAGTTGCTGGAGGGTTTGCTGATGGACAAGGAAGCGGGATTGCAGGAGTTTGGGGCAGGGTAAGGTTTTGTGTTTTTTTGTCCGTGGTTTCAAGATGAAAGATGGGGGTGCTGTTCTTACCTGAGGGGATGAACTAGCTGAGAGAGGGTGCCACAGGTAGGACGTCTGTGTGAAAGCCACAGCAGGTATAGTTCCTCTGGCGGAAGGGGAAAGGCATGAGCCCCGACCTTCCACCCACAGAATAGGGAGGGAGAGCAGCAGTTGGGAAGGGAGGTGAGGAGGAGGGTATTCATTAACTACCAGGAGGATTTAACACTGGGCTGCTGTGGGCGGTGATCACAACAAACATCTCCTGTATGGCCTTTCCCCTGGAAACTCCACCATGGGGCCACTAGCTGTGTTCAGGTGCCTGCTTTGCTTTCCTCCTCTGGCTCTTCTTGGTGCTTGTCTATGCCAGGCTTGGGAAGCTCACACCCAGTGCATCGTTCTGTGGCAGTTGAACATGCCCCTTCATGTGCCACTAGACTTCTTTCTTAACTTTTTCACTAAAGTGGGTGACCTGAGTGTAGATGCTGAATGTTCACTGTGTTTCTATCACAGTGTAAGTGCTTGCTCTCTCACCTTGAGACAGGCTCAGCATGTGCCCAGTCTGACCCCCAAATCTAGACCCATCTCTGTATCCACCTTCCAGGTGCTTCCATGCAGGTGTTCCACAGTGCCCAGCCTCCCTGTCTATCAGGTGACTCTTGTTTAGCAGCAACTCAGGCGCATGAGTGTCTTCCTAAAGCCTTGGCCTTCAGTAAAACTGTTCACATTCCTGATAGCAGCCTTTCCTGCCCTTAGAGTGCTTGCTGTTACTCTTGTCTGCTGAGACATAGTGTTCTTGTTGGTAGGTGCAGACCCTCAATGAACAGGATTGGGAACGGGCCCAACAAGCCAGCGTCTTGGCAAATGTGGCACAAGCATTTGAGAGTGATGTGGATGTATCTGATGGTGAAGATGACAGAGATACTCTGCTCAGCTCAGTTGATCTGCTGTCACCCAGTGGGCAGGCTGATGCACAGACATTGGCCATAATGCTTCAGGAGCAACTGGATGCCATCAACAAAGAGATCAGGTATGTGTATGTGCATGTGTTTTGTGTGTGTGTGTGTGTGTGTGTGTGTATTTGATATGTAAGAGACACAAGGATAGTAGGGACCAGGGGGCAGTGGCATTAGAGGCAGGAGGAGCAGTAATACAAATCCAGACTAGACTACAAGCAAGCAGTTTTGAGGCCAGCCTAGGCTACATGGAACCCTGTTTCAAAATAAGAGCAACAAAAAGAAAGTAGAAGGTGGAGACAAGGAGACTGAAGTGGATATTGTGGAGGTGTGAGAGTGGAAGGAAGGAGACAGGGAGGTGATCAGAGGAGACTAGGGTTGATGCTGTACAGGTGTGAGGATGTTATAATGAGGCCTAGTGTGTTCTACACTTGGAAATTAAAAAAAATGAGTCATGCAGGCGTTCACTTCAACAGGAAAGCATGGTATAGTATAGGTGAGATCAACATCCTCTTTATAGCCCTGCACAGCAGAGCACTTGGGCTTCTGAGATAGCCTTTCCTTCTAGCAGCCTGCCCACCTCCCTGCACCATGCTAGGGGAGGTGGAACTCTTCCATCCCTCCATGCATAGAGAAACAGAGCCCAGACCACTCTCCTGCTACCCAGAGCTGTACCTGGAAGACTGGACATAGGATATGCAAGGTTCTGGTGTATAAAGTGAGGTGGCAACTTAGACCATGCTGTGGTCAAGAAGTAGTTGGGTTTCCTTCCGTCATCCAGTGCTAGCATAACTTCGTCCATATGTAGAGTGAGCCCAGGAGCATTCTAGCTGTCAGTGGAGAGAGACAGTCTGACAGTACTAACTTCATAGTGCTCTGTTGCTGTTAGATACAGGGTCTCCTGCTGCAGCCCACATTGGTCTTAAAGGCACCTTCCTTCCACTGTAGCTTCCAGCTGCTAGGCTCGTATATAAGACCATCCTCCCCACCAGACTCAACTTGTTCTGCTTGCACATACAGGATGTCCTGATGAAATAAGGCCAACTACTCTTATTTGGGTTTTAGGCTGATACAAGAAGAGAAGGAGAATACGGAGCAGCGGGCAGAGGAGATTGAGAGCAGAGTGGGCAGTGGAAGCTTGGACAATCTTGGTCGTTTTAGATCAATGAGCTCCATCCCCCCCTACCCTGCTTCCTCGCTTGCTGGCTCTTCTCCTCCAGGCAGTGGTCGGTCCACACCGAGAAGGGTCCCTCACAGTCCTGCCCGGGAGGTGGACAGGCTGGGTGTCATGACTCTGGTAAGTAGGACCTTTTCTGCCTTAGCCTGCTGGGGAAGGGTTACACATGGAAGTCACATCTTCCTCCAAGAGGTACCAGATTATAAAAGCTGAAGGGGTAGAGACAGAGGCAGGTGATTTCTTTGAGTTTGAGTCCAGCCTGGTCTACATAGTGAGTTGGGTTAGCCAGTGCTATATAGTGAAACCTTTTTTTCTCTTAAGTTAACTAGTATTTAGTTAGTCACCAATGCAAGTTAATTGTAATACTTAGATGACCAGTCTAGCATGTTACCACTTAGTTGTAGGATGCTAGGCAGGGGTCTGATGCAAGCCAGAAGGGGCTATGCTGCTTGTTTCAGCAGAACTGACTGTGGAGAGCTGTTGTAGCATGTGGGAAGAGGCACAGAGAGCCTGGGATGGAGGCCAGTGGTGGAGTGAGCACTGCCTAGTCTGTACCAGGCTTCCATCTGCAACACACTTAAAAAAATGTGTAAAGGAGGCCCTTAGCCCTTCACTGCAGGGTTGTTAAGCTCTGAGGCACAAAGGACCACTCAGGAGTTTTGTGAACTATGGAGCCGAAGCAGATGGGCATTAATTATGACTGGTTAGCTTGGGAGCACTTTTGTCTCAGAAATGCTATGACCCAGGCGTGCAGATCTCAGAATGCCCAGTGACTGTTGAGGGTTTAGCGTGTACATGATCCTAAGAGCCAACCTACTAAACTCTGTCTCAATCTGTATCCTAGCCACCTTGCAATGCTGCACCTCTTTTGCTGCTGCTTTCTTCACAGTTTCAATGACACTGGCAGTGGGCATGTAACTAAATCATTTTAATGAGCTGTACAGTCTCTTGTATTTTGATGCACTGTGTAATATGTGTCATTAGTGCAGTGGGTAAGATCTTAATTTTAATGGTGTGGTCTGTGGCTTTGTCCTTCCAAATACTTTGTAGGAACAGCTCTGTGTCTTTTTTCAGTTTAAGACTGTCCACTTGCTGACTGTCAGTCTGCTTCCATTTGATCCTGACCCCAGATCCCTGTCTGTCTGCCTATCCAGGACCTTATGCTGTGACAGTCCCACCCCCCAGTTTCTGCAGATGACCAGGCACCCAAGTGTACATCTGCTGCAGTATGCTGGAAAAATGCATTGTTGTGCTTTTTCATGTTCATAATGCATTCTCTGTTGCTCATGTTTCCTGCAAGTGCACACAGGCTGGAAGGGATATGTGGTCTGTGATTCTGCAAGGGAGAATCCTGATTGGCTATGTAGTACTGATGAAAGCACAGACATAGCCCCCTCTGGTTCTTGTGTCACGTGGCTTTCAGCTACCTGCTGGCAGTCTTGCTGTCTTTGATAAGCTCTTATGTTTAATGCTGTGCATGTTACATGGTGTAGGGGCTCTCACTGGTACCTCACTAGCTTTTCTTACATCTTTTCATGGGGGTGGGTGGAGGGGATGCTCTTATTGCTTTAAACAATCAGTATATTTTTGAAAAGTTGTAAACCAAATTCTAGGACTTTAGGTTAATGTCCAGTAGTTGGTTAACGCAAAGCAGGTTTGTTTGACTTTATAATAGATAATGTAGCAGCTTCTAATGGAATTTATAAATTCCAATGTGTTTGCAACTAGTGACAGAGGCTGGCTTAGAGTAAGGGTCATTAGAGTCCTGCTTACATGGAATGCTGAGTTTTAATACATTGCCTGTGTTCAAACTCAATCTTAGCCAAGTAAACTGTTGCCTCCTGGTTTAACTATCTTGAGAATGTTTATTTCCAGTGATGTTTCCTCTCAGTGCTCAACCTGTGTGTGTCCTTCTGACCCTGCTTAGCAATTTGCCTCACTGGTCCTTGGGTCTTTTCCCACACATGTGCAGTAAACCTGCTCTCTCTCTTTCTCTCCCTCCTTTCTTCACACGCATCTGTCAGCCTAGTGACTTAAGGAAACACCGGAGACAGGTAAATCACATGCTGACCTTACATACTTCGTGTCTCCATGACTGACACACTATTGTAATGTGAAGACAAGTACCTGACACTCCCAGCAGTATTTAGTTTGATCCTGCATGTCATGTTGATGGTCATGTGGGAAGCCTGTCCCTGAAATAATAGGACAGAAGTGTCTGTGTCTAATTATTGCATGCTTTTCTGCTGTTCAGAATTAAGAACAAGAGTTCCTGAGGCAGAACTGCAGGGGTGTGCTGTGGGGAAGGCTGGGGCTGCCACCCAGTAAGCTCATACCATGCCTAGCATGTGTACAAGACATTGTCTTTAATTATTTTTAACAGTTTTGTTTCTTTGAGACAAGGTCTTACTCTATAGCTGAGACTGTTTGGAACTCATTGGGTGGCCTAGGTCATCCTTGAACTCACAGCAGTCCCCTTGCTTCAGCCTCATAAGCGCTGGAACCGTTGTCTTAAATTCTTGCATGCATCCATGTGGGATATAGGTCACTTAGTTATTTCATTTATCAGTGTGGAAACTGAAGCTCCTGTTGTGTGGTGTGGGGTTACAGGTGTGTGTTCAGGACTGTCTGGCTTCAAAAGCTGAGCTGGTGGCCAGTTTGCCCTTGAGCCTTTTGCTAGCTGCCCTGATTCCCTGGCAGTATCTAGGAATTGGTGTGAATTGGTGTGAGTGCATCATGCTGGGCAGAGTTGGGAAGAGCTGTCAGTAGCCATTTTGGTGGTTGACCTAGACAGTCTACCTTTTATCTTCCTTGCTCCAGCCCAGGAGCCTTGCCCTGGGATCAACCTTTCTAGCTCGCTGTACTGTGGAGCAGTCATGGCTTCCATTCCCACTTGTTGCTGATGAGTTTGCCAAAGAGGGTTGCCATGTTGGTGATGTGGTTTGTTGCCTTCTTTCTTTTAAGTTAAAAAAAAAAAGTGACACACCTGTGCTGCTCAAACTGTCAATGCACAACAGGAAGGACACAAGTTCCAGGACAGACTGGGATACAAAGCAAGACCCAGCCCTTCACCCCAAACTCAAATTGGCAAGTGGACTTGGCTCAGTGACACAACTGCTCAGTTGTACTACACAGTGTTCTGTTCAGCTCTGCTGGCTTGTGTCAGTGAGGAAACAGTATGTGAACCACACTCAGTCCAGCATGGTGACCTCGTCTATGGAGCCACATATGGGCTGGTGCTGCAGTGTGGTGTACCCACCCCTCCTTTAGTCCCAATGGCAAACTAAGGTGCTTCTCTACTTGGTAACATTGAAGAGTCTGAATATAGTAGGGATCCTAGTGCCATCCCTTCCTGAAGGAGCACAGAGGACACACCTGAGATCTCTGTCAGGATTTTGGGACCAGATTGGGAGCTGTTGTGAGTGAGGCTCTGCTAAGGAGTGTGATAGCATCCTCAGCATGTGAATTGCTCCTGAGCTCAATTCTTTGGTTTGTGTTTAAATAATGATTCCATTTTTAAGCTGTTAACATTTCCTTCAGAGTTTCTAGCCATGGTGGCTTTGGGGAGGAGGTGATGGAATGATGGCCTCCTGCGTGCTAAGCATATGCCCTTTGGAGCCTGGCCCAGGCCCATGATGCTCACTGCTGTTTTGAGATCATCTTAGACAAGGAGATGCAGAGTGCATCTGCTGCTGGCTAGTGCCTCAGCTCAGCCTGGCCCTGAGCTGATGGGGTTGCAGTAGGACCATTGATCCTCAGTGCCGTTTTAGTACTCAGCTGTCAGCCTTCCTGTGCATGCAGATACTTGCCATGCTTCATGAAATCTGTCTTTCTTTAGAACCAGACAGTGCAGCTGTATCCATAGCACCCAAATGGGGTGAAACTGTTCACTGCTGTGGACCTTCCTCTGTATATACTCATTGCCATCTTAGTGATGTACACAGGATTATTCTGTCTAAATCAAAGCTCTTAAACTGCGTTCGTGTCTCCACGTATAGCCTGCAGTACAAATACCCAGAAATGGAGCCATATGCATGGGTGTGGCTCATGGTCTCTTAACTGTTCTGTGTATTCCCAATCCCCAGACAGGAAAGTGCTAATTACTTGCTAGGGAAGACTGCCTCCCCAGTGTTCCCGCAAAGTGGCTGGAGGAGGCCTGTCGAGAGCTCCTGGTCAGTAAGAGCTGGTTGTCCTCTTGTGTTGATGAGGATGCAGTTGATAGCATGGATCAGTTCTTGGTTGGCTCCCTTGTTGGACATTGGCCTCTGATGTGCTTAGACTTCAGGGAGGAGTCGTTGGTGTCCTATGCTTCATACTTTTCCTAGAGAGATGGGCTGTGACTCACACTGTTCTGTGCTGTTTGTTTCCCTTCTGGACAGCAGTCCTGAAGATGGTGTGAACTAAAATGCAGCCTTTTAGCCAGGCACAACGGTGCCACCTGTAACCCTAGCACTGGGGAAGTGGAGGTAGTGCATTCCCAAGGTCCATCACAGAACAAAACCACAAACAAAAAAAAGGACATGCTTTTGTGTTAGCAGAAAGTGACTAATAGATCTTTGAGTACACTGTTCACTGTTCTTGCCCTTATCTTGCCTTCAGTTGCCAGCTTCCAGAGAAGAGGTACGAGACGACAAGACGACGATAAAATGTGAAACCTCTCCCCCCTCCTCCCCGAGGCCCCTGCGCTTAGACAGGCTGCACAAGGGCGCACTGCACACGGTCAGCCATGAGGACATCAGGGACCTGAGGAAGTAAGGAGCAGGGTTGAGGACAGCAGTCCGTGTGTGGAGCTGTGCTTGTCTGGGGTTGAAGAATATTAGTAATAATTTTTGGGGAAAAAAGCAGATTTTAAAGAGTTTCATGTTATTTAGTTGAAGTTACTGACATTACCCCTGGTATTTCCAGCAGCAGGGCCTATCTGGGAAGATTGCAAATAATGGTGCTCCAGGGCTGCACAGCCTTGTTCACACACAGGTGCCTCTGTGGTTCTGGAGGGTGCCACTCTACCGAATGAGAGGAATAAGATCGGTTCAGGACCCCTAGACCAAAATCTCAGCACAAAGGAGATTTATTTGCTCCACATGGACAGTGGGCAGGGAATAAGAGACAAAGACAGGAGATAGAAGACAAGGGAGAAGGGGAGGGGAACAAGGGAGAAGGGACAGGATTATTTGTCCTGGAGTTGGAACAAAGGATAGAGAGAAGACAGATGTAACACATAGAAAAATGGCAGTTTATAAAGGTACAAGGGGAAACCTCATGTTAGGATGAGGTGCTTAATTTTAATTTGGCCTGTTAATTAGGTGAACTGAAGGAGCGTTTTGATTGCTGGACTTCAATACTTTGATAGTTGGATTTTGGTAGTCAGCCTCAGGAAGAGGAAGTGGCTAAATAAGGAAACAGACCTTGGGGACTAGCTTTAGGAGTGCAATGTAATGGTTTTTAGCAAGGCAGAAGGAATGATAGAGAAGGGCAAAGCCTGCCAGAGTCATGCTCACCATGCCTGAGCTCAGAGTCCCTCCACTGGCTTCTCATATTCTCTTGCTTTCTTGGGTCTCCAAGTTGCTGGGCAGTTTGTGTTTTCCCCACCTCTTTATTAAAATGCTTCCTGTCAGGAAACTAAAAGCCTATTTGCTTCTTGTGACCAATGGCAGAGTTTCTGTGCTGTCCTGAGCAGGGCAGGGGAGGGCACTTGAACAGTAGCTCTTACCCAGCTCTGCACGTAGTAAGCATTGTTTTTGGCTGGCAGTGGATTTCTCTGGTCTCTCTGGGCATCTCAGTGACTGAGCCCAGGGCTCCCTTTCCAGCTAGTTAGAGTCCATGCCTCCTCTTGAGGAGTTTCAAGTCCTAGAGAAGTTGGGCATTCAGAATCAGGCTTCCTTCTGAGCATCCTTGGCAGCCTTTGTCATTGCACAGCATACTGTGAGAGACTTGGTGAATCTCAGGAACTCTGAGGACCAGTTATTAAAAATGTAGAGTGTCTGGCTGGGTGTGGTAACTTAGGTCTCTATAAGCCTAGTGTTTTTAAGGCTGAGACAGGTTTTCATGAGTTCCAGGCCAGTCTAGGCTAGAGTGAGAGCTTATCTCAAAAACAACCCAGAAAAATGTAGCAGTGCCTATGCATGAGCTCTCATGTTATGATAGAGCTCTGATAAAAGTCCATTTTATTTCCTTGAAGCTCCACAGGCTCCCAAGATGGTCCAGTGAGCAACCCTAGCAGCAGTAATAGTAGTCAGGACTCCCTCCACAAAGCCCCAAAGAAGAAGGGCATCAAGTCCTCCATTGGCCGCTTGTTTGGCAAGAAGGAAAAGGGCCGGCCTGGGCCACTGGGGAAGGAGTCACCAGGACAAGGTTGGTAGGTTTGCAGTAAGCATCTTTTTTCTTCTTCTTCTCCTCCATTTCCTCCTCCATCATCATCATCATCATCATCATCATCATCATCATCATCATCATCATCATCATCATCATTTCATGTGCATTGGTGTTTTGCCTGCATGCATATCTGTGTGAGGGTGTTGAGTCCTCTAGAACTGGAGTTACAGACAGTTGTGAGCTGCCATGTGGGTGCTGAGAATTGAGCCTAGGTCTTCTGGAAGAGCAACCAGTGCTCTTAACCACTGAGCCATCGCTCCAGCCCCTGCAGTAAGCATCTCAACAAGGGTATGGGGTGCTCTTAGGTACCTGCTGTGTCTGCTCGTTCTCCACATGCCACCACACTGCTGGACATTCTCTAGTGAGCATGGGCCCTCAGAGGTGGTACAGCTATGACCCAAAGAGCAATGGCTAGCACTAGCAGTTCAGATACACCAGGTGTCTTGGCCAGGAATAGCTCTCAACTTTCAGTGTGAACTTAATTACCTATAGAGAACAGACCTGAACTTTGCTCTGCCATGTTGATTTACTTAAGTCTGGGGTCTCTGCTTCCTCGTAGCTGGTGTTTCAGAGACAGAAAATTCATCTCAAGATGCCTTGGGACTCAGCAAACTGGGAGGACAAGCTGAGAAAAACCGTAAACTTCAGAAAAAGTAAGCTTCTCATTGTGTTTCTATAGAAGGTGGTTCTCAGGGTTAATATTTAGGTTTCATCTGGTATTAAATTCTGTGCACAGCTGTGTGTATGCATAGCCTTCTGAAAAATAGCTCCATGCTGAAGGGAGGGGAAGTGGAGACAGGAGGGTCCCTGGAGCTTGCTGTCTAGCCAGTCTAGCCAGATGGTTAGGCTCCAAATTCAGTGAGAGACCCAGTCTCAGAAAGTTGTGTGGAGATAGATAGAGGAAGATGCTTGATGTTGAGGCATCTTTATGTGACCTCTGCATGTATCTGAAGTGTAACTGCATACATGAACAGGTACATATGCATACCCCTCCAACACACACACATGTGTAATTACAGTCTTTTTTAACCCACATTTCCTCAAGATGGGAACATTTATGACACATAGAAGGCATTTGCCTGCATTCCTGACACTGTGGAAAGTGTCTTGCTGAGGGGGCATGCTCCAGAACCCATCTTTGGAGTCTGAATCCTGCCCTCAGATCAGTTCTGTGCCTTCGGGGAGTCATGTAGCCCCATGTCTATTTTCCTCATCTGTAAGATGAGAGTCATGGCAACTTATCCTGGATGGCTTTTCTGAGTATTAAATAGGATGGTGGTTATCTTGAAGAGTGATAAGAGGACTGGGATATGGCTCAGCTGGTAGAGTGCTAACCTAGAATGCACAAAGCCATGGCCTCCCAACCAGTATTATATAAACTGAGCATAGTGGCACGTGTCAGATCTCAGAGGTACTGGCTGGAGGATCAGAAGTTCAAGGTCATCATCTGCTATGTAGTGGACTGAAACACTTAAGACTTGGTCTCACATAAATAGCTCTAAGTCTTGCAAAACTGTCTAAACAGCTGAGCTCTAAGGGCAGCCACAGTGACTGGGCCCATGTGAATGGCTCTCTGGAAGTACTTGCCACAGTGTTTTCTCCTGGTAGACTGTCTTATCACAGATAGATTTAAGAATTTATAATCTATTAAGTTTCAATTCTGCACTAAGTCTTGAAAGACTGGCTCAGGGTAAAAGAAATGTGTTTGCAAAGAGGAAAAAGTCAGTAAAATAAATTGCTGTCCTGAAAATTAGTAGTACTATTTGGGATGGCTGTCACTCCAGGGCCAGAGCAGTTATGTGTATGTGGGTTTGCTCTGCATAGAATGACTGTCTGGAAGCTTAGCTGCATCTAGAAACCAATGAGAGAAAAACAGATAGGATGAGACAGTGCATCAAAGAACAGGCAGAGGGCGTAGAATAGAAGTGAGAGTTGAACTGAAATAGGGAAGTAAGTTGAGCCAGGATGGACTGGATGGTTTTGCAAAGGGTCCTGAGTGCTGGAGACAGTGTACTGCACCCAGAATGGTGCTCACCTTGCTGTGGGGCTGCCAGTCATTAGCTTTGCCTCACATGTTATCTAATAACTGGACACTGCTCCAGGTAAGGCCAGGCTCCACTAGCAGTGCTGTTGACTCCCCTACCTTCAGGAGTCTGCAAATGAAAATTTGCAGAAATCTCTTAATGTCCAAATTTGATTGGGCATATTGCTGTTTTTGAACTGAGTAAATGTTTTGAGAAACCTTGGATTTGCCATTTGGCCTCGTGAAAGTTGATATTAAAACACAGCTTTTTCAGGCGGTGTTGGCACACACCTTTAATCCAATCTGTGCACTCTGGGTAGCAGAGGCAGGCAGATCTCTGTGAGTTCAAGGCCAGCCTAGTATACAAAGCAAGTTCTAGGATAGCCAGAACTACACAGAGAAACCCTGTCTCGAAAAACAGACACATCTTCTTGCTTACTGGGTCTATACTAGGAAACTTCTACGCCCCAGATCCCATTGGCATGCTTTGTTTCACGTCACACACGATAATGAAAACAGCAAGGCTGTGCATGGCCCGGCAGCTGTGTTACCACATTCTTTTCCTTTTAGGGGTTTTGTATTTCATGTGAGAGAAAACATACTAAATTTCCTCAGGGTTTCAGCTTATTGTGATACTGGATGTCAGCATAGAGTGTGGAAGGGCAGCCTTGTGATTGGCTGAATGTATGTAATGCATATTGTGAGTGTGTGATTGAAGACTCAGACTCATTTCCTGTGGCAAGTTCCTGACTTGAGGATCTCTTCTGCTGCTGAGTGGATCAGGCAGCCTCTGGCAAGTGAAGGCTGATAGGGCCTGGCAAATTTGCTTGGTAGCTTCCATTTTGCTTTGGGGAACTACTGAGAGAATTTGGGGCAGGGGCCTTCCTTCCTTTCCTGATGGGAAACCTCAGGGCACTGCTCCTGAAGCTTGACTGTAAGCCACTTTGGCTTTAAAATGTCCTCCTCCCTCTGTGGTACTGTGGTGTGCTCACAGGTAGGAAACTGGACTGTGTGGAGAGCCAAGCTGTGGGATGCTCCTAAGGACACCAGGCTTACCTCAGTGCTGAACTTCTGAGAGAATTTTGCCCCCCCCCCCAAAAAAGGTAGCTTTTATCCTTTTCTTGTCAGAGTGATATCACCTGTGTTCTTAGGACTCCTAGCTTCTCACTTGATGTAGACACTTGCTATAGCTAGTGTTGGGGGAAGAAAGGTCCTTTGGCCTTCTGTTTAGGGTCTCAGTGCTGGCATAGTGAAAATATATGGGTCTAAGGTAGGGAGAGCTGCCGTGCTTGTTGATGTCATGGAGCAGGTGACCACAGCTTCATCTAACCGTGGGCCTGTCTCTCTGTGGGCCGCTCCTCATAAAATTGAGTGCATTTCTAAACTGTGCCAGCTCATCTCCTTTCTTTGCTTTTGAGGTGCTAAGGATGAAGGCCAGGGTTCTTTGAACACTCGGTCTGCACTGTGCTACAGAAACATATCCTTCAACTCCCTCTCCTGTTCTGATTGGAAAGAGAACACTTGATTAGTGGTGTCAGAGCCTTACACATTAGCCTCATGATGGCTCATGCCCACAATGCCAGTGTTAGGGAGGCAGGGAGAGGAGGATTGTAGATTTGCACAAAGATGATACATCTCACGGACCAGAAAGAGCAGACAGCAGTAACTCTACAGTCCTAGAGCCATGTCCAGGATAATGGGATTGAGCTCCCTCAATTTCCCTGAAAGCAGCACCTGTGGCCCTGGGGGTCAGCACCATGTCCCTCTCATTCTTCCGAGCAGTCAGGTGCTCTTGGTCTTAGGCCTGAGGTACGGACAGCCACGTGGGCTTTTTAGAAGACATTTCTTTGGGCTGGGGAGATGGCCTGCCATGTAAGCACGAAAACTTGAGTTTGGATCTCTAGCACTCAGGTAAAATGTGGGTGTGGTGGTCTGCACCTGGAATTTAGTGCTGGGGGCTCAGAGACCAGTCAGTCTAGCCAGTGAGTGAGCTTTAGGTTTACTAAGAGAACTGTCTCAAAACAAGGTTGAGCAGCATTGTACATGCCTTTAACCCCAGCACTAGGGGCAAAAGCAGGTGAATTCCCTAGTTTTAGGCCAGCTTGGTCTACATAGTGAGTACATACACTATACCCACATACCCAAAAATTTTTTAAAGAATTTTGTTACTTTAGTCACTGTGTTTTAAGCTTTGGGACCAGTGGCTAAAGAGTTTTTATTACCTGGAAAACTGACCAGCAGGAAAATAAATGTTGGTGACATTAAATGTCCTCTCTCTCCTTTGTCATGGATGTTCTTTCTGTCCCATGACACATGATTGGTGAGAGATGTGCTGGCCTTGTCATAGCTGTGTTTGGCTATATAATTGCAAACTGCCCGGTAGGGAAGGCTCATTAGGCAGAGGGAAGCCAGTGATAGCCACCTTTCCAGGTCCTGCTACCTATGATTGATTGTCCTTGAGGTTCACTAACTGGTTCCTAATTTGTGCCCTATGACCTCTACACTGTTCATGCTGCTGCCAGTGGCCTGTGCTCTAAGGACCAACAAAGGCTGTTTCCAGTGCTAGGAGGAAGTTCAGGGCATCACAGAGGGCTGCAGACTCCAGGTAGCTACTGAGGGCTGCAGTGTGCTTGCTTATCTGCATGTTCTGCATGATCTATTACTACCACATAATAGAGGTCCTATCAGAGTGCCCAGTTGAAGAAGACTTAGTCCATTCATTGTGACTTTAGCGTAGAAACCTGATGACCAGGCCACATACACAGGAAGGGCACTCCCTGGTGTCCTCCGAGTTTTCACTTTTATTAGGGGTTGGACTACAAAGAGGGACAGTGCTGCTTCCTGTGGCTTCTTCACCTGTTCTGTTAAGTGATACCACCTGTCTGTAGATGGAAGTCACAAAACAATCCCACACCAGTTTGGAATTATGATTAATAAAAGGGTTATTATTTTTAAGGGAAAGCTTACAGATCACTGTCCTAGACAACAGCCCTATGAGCAAACAGGAACAGAGTCTAGTAGCTGGAAGCAGAGCCATGAGCAAGCGAGGGAGAAGGAGAGGGAGAGAGGGAGGGAGGGAAAGAGAGAGTGAGAGAGGGGGCAGGACTACTTTTAAAGCAAAAGAGACCACGCCCAAGTGGGCTGGTATCTTTAAGGCTATTGGCTGAAGGAGGAGCGGAAGGAGCTCAGGTCTTTGAGAATTTGTCTGGAGGAAGCAGAAAGTGGTGTGTGTGTGTGTGTGTGTGTGTGTATGTCCCTCCCCTCCTGTCATTAGTTGGTGGCCCAAGACTTCAGCTCCCTCTCTGTAGCTAGGACTGGTATCCATCCTGCAGACCCTCACTTCCTCAGCCCCACATGAGCACACTTGGCTATCTCTTTTCTAGTTTATGAGTAGCCCCATTCCTCAGATGGGAAGTGCTATTTTGACTGCCTGAGACACCAAATAGTGCTGCTGCCCTGGAGATATGCTGCTAGCCAGTGATGAAAGACAGCCATTGACTGTAGAAGCCAAGGATAATGAAGAAACCAAGCCTGAAGCTGTCTATGACATTGTGACTGGAGGGAAAGCCCTGATCTGGGCAGTTATTGCAGAGCCAGGATTTGGAGGTTTGATTTTGGTTTTACAGAGCTGGGTATCACACAAAATAGTTTTCTTTAAAAATAAAAGATTCTGAAATCTCTGGCTGCCACACATGCAAACATGGAGAAATTAGTTTGTAAGAAAGAATCTGTGTGTGGGGATAGAACCCATGCTTTTTTTTTGTTTTTATGTGTGTGCATGTGTGTGTTTTCCGAGACAGGGTCTCACTATGTAGTTCAGGATGTCTGGGAATTCACTGTTTAGACTAGACTGACCTTGAGTTCACAGAGATCCATCCACCTGTCTCTTCCTCCCGAGTGCTGGGATTAAAAGTGTGTGCTACAACATCTGATTTTTTGAACCATCCTTACATGTTTAAGGTCTCAGCACTAGGTATCCATCTGTCAACCTTCATGTACTCTCTTTCTGGACAGTGTAAAAAAGGGTGTGACACCTAGCTTTTATCCTCACACCATATGAACTTAGGTACAAGAACTACCAGGTGCTCGTCAAACTGGTGGTCATTCTTTCAGAAGAGGTGGGATTCTGTGGGATCATGCAGGCACCCTGTAGTAAACATAAGCTAGTGTGCTGTGGGTGGTGCCAGTGAATGGAAGCTCAAGGGAAGTAGGTAAGTACCTGTTGTGCTTTGGAAGCTTGTCAAAGATGCCTACTTAACTGGTTGTTCTGAATGTGTTTCCCTCATAGGCACGAGCTGCTGGAAGAGGCCCGCAGGCAGGGTTTGCCTTTCGCACAGTGGGATGGGCCCACGGTGGTGGTATGGCTGGAGGTATGTTCTCTTCACATGCTGCTTTATGGGAACTCACTGTGGTATCTCACACTTGCCTAATGGTCTGACTTTCTTGTTCCTGTGTCTAGCTCTGGGTTGGGATGCCTGCCTGGTATGTGGCTGCTTGCCGAGCAAATGTCAAGAGTGGTGCCATCATGTCAGCCCTGTCAGACACCGAGATCCAGCGGGAGATAGGCATCAGCAACCCTCTGCACAGGCTGAAGCTGCGGCTGGCCATCCAGGAGATTATGTCACTAACCAGCCCTTCTGCCCCACCCACATCCAGGACGGTAAGTTCACATGTTCTTATGCTCTGGGAGGAAGGACTGCCTCCTGCAAGGCTATGGACCAGTCATTCTGCTTTCTTGGGTCTTTGCAACCCCAGCAGTTTTCATTTAAAACACGGCTGCATATGCCAAAAAAACGATTGCGTATGTGAATTGGATGACCCAAGAAAACAAGAATTTTGGGCTAGGGCATAGCTCTGTGTAGAGTACTTGCCTAGCTTGTGAAAGGTCCTGGGTTCATCCTCAGCATTGGACAAAGGCTTTCATGAAAGCTTGTCTGAAGCTGAGTGTGAAGCCCTCTGTGATCTCAGCTACGTGGGAGTCTGAAGATCGGAGCTTGAGTCCAGCAGGGGCAACAGCATATCAAGTTAAAAATGAAAGTGTGTCTAGAAAAACTTCAAAAAGCAAGAGATTTAAAGGTGGAAATTCATTCCTATAAACCTCCCTTGCATTTATTGTGCCCATCATCCTGAGGGCTTCTGGGCAGGAGCTAAGGAAGTTCTTACTCTGTACTAGCACTTCCCGCCTTTTGACTTTCATGTCTGATGACCCCTGACCACACAGAGAGGTGGGACTGTACCCTCTTCATCTGCAGCTGCCTGTAGGTAGGGTGTGGACAGGAAGGGCAGCTCCTTCCCTGCCTTTTGATGGGGCACAGGTGTGCTGGAAAGTAGACCAAGAGAAAACAGACTGTTGCTGAATTAAAATTCAGTCCTTCTCCTCCTCCCCATGAACTCTGCCCTGGCATGGTTTGGAGGCAGTGTGTGAGCTGCTTGCATTTTCTGTGGAGTGCTAGCTCTGCAGAGCATCTTGGTGGCACCTATTGAATGCTGATGATGACACTAGTGAAGAAAAGCTGCTGCTACCCAGCATCTTGGTCACTAGAGAATCCACTCTTTCTTCTCACTGGACAGTGTTTTTTCCCTGCAAAAACCAAAAGGGAAAGCAGATACGGCCATACTCCCTCCCGACTTAGCTTGGGTGGCTCTGGAGAAAATCGTGGAGTACCTTTGAGACACTTTCTGCAATAGACCAAGGCCTGACCCTGGGCTCAAAGTTAAAGTGTTGAGGTTTTTCTGCTCTCTGTGGAATGAACACTGGGCTTCTCTCTTCAGTTATAGCTCAGAGCTCTTCCCCCAGAATGGCTTTTGTTACCACAGTCCCTTCTGTTCCCTGATATTTCATGTCATAAAGGCATGTTCACTGTGGCCCCTCCGAAGTCTTCAACTGTGCTCTTACAGGGAGCTCCCACCATTTCAGCTAGCTTGAAAGTATTCCCGCCACACTGTCAGGCATAGGCAGAGATTCCTCTCTGGAGCTTACTTACATCAAAGCAGACTGGTCCCTTATCTGGCTCTGACAGGGATCTAGTGGGGAAACAGTGTGGTTAATTTTGGCCTTTCTGGCCTGGTCACCTGGTGTACGTGCCAGTTGGAAGAGGGGCCTCCTGCTGCTGTTGAAATGAGGCTGCTTCTGGAAAGTGCTCCCTTTGGACGTGCTAGAGATCACACCCAAGGCCTTGTACTTGCTAGGCAGCTCTGCCACTCAGCCCTACCTCCAGTCCAGCTGTGATAGTGAGTGTAGAGGTCTGAGAGAAGAAATATTTCTACAAGTCTAAAATGAGCTTTCTTTATTTACATACCTCAGGGGTGGGTACAGCAACGCAGCTCTGGAAGCTGTGAGCACCTCTCTGTTGACAGCTGCTGGCAGGTGTAGCTGCTGGCCGGAGGGCTGGGTTCTTGTAGCTTTTTTGTCATCTGTGAAGAGTGGCCTTTGCCTCAGGCTCCTGTGCCTGAAGTTTATGTGTGTGCCCTCTCCTCCTGTCATGCTTCCCTGGCCTGGAATGTGGCTGGTACACGGGGTACCTTAGACCACGGGAAATGTCTGGTTGACACATGAAGAGATGGAAACACTCACAGCCACGCCGCAAACGGTTAGTCACTGCAGCCTGCGTTTGCAGGGCACGTGGTGTGTTAGACCAGCTTGGGCTTTGGACTTTCCGTTGGGAATGGATGTGTCCCTTTTGGTCACCAGCTATGTGTGCAAACTAGAGTTTGTTTTTATTTTAGTTGTTTTTTTTTTTTTTTCCAGGATCTTAAGGCTGCAGATATGCTTATTTAAATAGAGTTGATTCACCCTGGGGAAAGAGCTCAGTTTAGTACCCCTCTGTGACAGTGGAACTTTTCTCTCTTACTGATATGCTAGCATGGAAAGGGTGTGTTCCTTGCATGAAAATCCCAAGCTGCTGGTGCTACATAGACTGCATGCTGCTGTGACCCAGCATGCTCACACATCCAGCTGTCCCTGTTTGCTTGCTTACCTTACCATAGTTTACAAACACTAACAGTTTGTTCTTTTGCATTCCTAACCATGTAACATCAGGAAGACGAGGAGGGAAGCTGGGCTCAGGTTGGCGTCTTTCTCTACCTCCCTTCACTGTGTGGCAACAGAGAAAGTGTCTGGGATGGCGACTTGTGTGACTTGTCTTTCTAGATGTTCCTAGCATCTCGGTCTGTTCTGTGTGGTTAATGATTTGAAAGCCTTAGACAAGCCCAGAGCAGGCTTGCCAGCGCCTCATGGACAACTTTGAACATTCTCACAGGAGCCCTGGCAGCAGTTCTGCATGAGCACAGGCTTCTGTTAATATGGGGTCCCTCACACATACCTCCCTGCTGGAGTCAGTTTAGTTTCAAGATCCACTGGTAGAAAAATTGTGAAATAATTTGCAAACCTCAGAGACATGATGCCTTTTCCTATGTGATGTTCTACTGACTGCTACCCTAAGGCTGTGTGCATTTAAAGATCTTACTAGGGGAATTCTCAGAAGTGAGACTGCTTCTTGTGTCAATGGGTGTTTCCATTTTCTTGCTGAAGTTTTTGTTACATTTATTTATTTATTTGTGTTTGTCAATGTGTCTGTGTGCATGTGCCATAGTGAGGTCAGAGAACAACTAGGGGAAGTCAGTTTTCTCATTCCCTAATGTGTGTTCTGTTCTTAAGCTTGGTGGGGGGGCTCACCTCACTCCCTCACAACCCTCTTCCCAGCTGAACTGTCAGGGCAGAGGTTTCAGCCTGCACCCCCAGCCCCCAGGATAGTCAGCTGTGGACACTGCAGAGCCACCAGCAAGCAGTGTGGCCATGACCCTGCTTCTTTATAGCCCAAGTTTTTCTCTGAGCTTGAGTCTAGGTTGTGTCACCACTGTACAGGGTTCTCCTCTCTCCAAGACCATCTGGTTCTGTGTGTTCCCTTTCCTGGGTTGTATCAGCATCTTTGGAGTAGAGATGAACTGAGCCTTCACTGCAGCTACCACCACAAAGGAGTGATTGGCGTGCCTGGGAAACACTCAGAGATAGGATGGTGCTGTCTCATTTGGCCCTTTCTTTAAAGGTTTTTCCTCATTCTGCCTGTCAAAGGAAGCAGAGCCAGCAGGGTCCCTGTGCTAATGCACAATGGGATCTCGTGATGGCCCAGAGTACTTAGGGACAGTGATAGACTTCTAGTAGAGCTGTAGTGTTCGTGTTGGATCTGACTCATTCTATTGTGGCTGGAGCAGGTGACCAGGCAGAGGGAGGCTGCCTTCATTTCCCAGTATCAAGTCACCTACTCTCTATGCTTGCATTCATTCCATGGCACAGACCTGCTTAGCCAGCTTTGCATTTTTATGGGGTTTAATGGCATTAGAAATGATGTTTTAACCAGGGTTTCCAGATGGTTGTTAGTCTGGAACGGGTCCCTGTTCTTGCTGCCCAGCACAATTTGTGTTTTAGCGCTGTGACTTCCTGCCTCAGTTGGCCCTGTCCTCTGTGAATGAAAGGACCAACTGTCTTCCTTCCCTGCTCACATGATTTGTGTGTCTTCTTGCCTTGTGCGGTGACCCAATGCTGTAGTTAGTGTAGATGGAGACATATGCACTTCTTTGTGGACAAGCATTCAGTTCTTCCCCTTCTTGGGTGCTCCGCTGTGGGGAGGCAAATTCACTCCATTCCCAGAGTGTTGAATGCCCCACAGTGAAGCCGGAAGCCTTTCACGTGTTTCTGTATTCTCTGTAGTATTAGGCTTTTCCAATTTCTTGATAGACAAAATTTCTCCGTTCTTTTCCCTAAACGTTGATCCAGCTTATGTTCTGTAACAATAAGCTTCTTCATGTCTAGTCTTATTTTAGTTTGTTATGGATGGCTTGCTGGTATTAGAGACTCTTGCATTGTTGCTTTGAAAGTATGTTAATTTGCAAATATTTGGAAGGTATTTAGATGTTTTAGCTACTACTAGTTATCCCTTTGAGACAAAATCTTGCTGTGTTGCCCAGGCTGTCCTCTAACTCTTCAACTTCAAACAGCTTTCACCCCATATTGGCCTGGTGAGTAGGTGAAGCTATGGGCGTGTGCTCCCATATTTGGCTAATTGCTGGTTTCCCTCTCTCCCCCTCCTTCCCACTTAATCTTACAGTTGGGTCTTGCTCTGTAGCCCAGACTGACCTCCAACTTGTGACTGTCCTCCTGCCTCGTAAGTACTGGAATTACAGATTCTAATTCATTTTCTTCTGAGGCAGAAAATACTGTATGATTTAACTTCAAAGCATATTGAGCTGGGGTGTTGCTCCGTGGTGGAGCTGTGCTTAATGTACGTGAGGCCTGGTTCATTCTCAGCACCACACCAAGCCAGACACATTCTGAATGAGGTGATGGGCCTGTCTGTGCATCTATCTGTTGCCCACTACTTAGGAGGCTGAACAGGAGCATCACTTCAGCCTGGAAAGTTGACTTGTATTTCAGAATGATGGCTTCCCAGGACCACGTGGTCTGGTGGGATAGAGTGTGAGGGCTGCATCTTATCCTAGGTAGTATCCTCTCATGGAAAAGAAGGGATGTATTCTAGTATCAGGTGGAGGATTCTGGAAAACATAAGCAAGTCAAGTTGATTGATACTGCTGCTTCAGTCTGCATTGTGCTGCGGGGTCTTTTCAAGGAAAAGCTGCTTTCCTATAGTTTGTAGCACACCCCCTGTCTGTTTTTGTTTGAAAGGAGTGTTGAAGTCTTATTTATAATTCTATATTTGTTCTTTTCTTCATTTAATCCTGTTAGTTTGTCTCTATAAAAACATTTTTTTTTCTGATAAACTTTTGCTGATTTTTTTAAAATAAACATTTATTTAGGAAAAAGTGTTAAGACCAAAGTCAGAACAGCCAGAGAGAATTTTAATGAGTCAAGTTGAACCCATCCTTCAAACTTGTTCATGAGTCGTGGTCATTCTCAGTTGCTGTGTTAACAGCTGGTTCGGAAGGGGCTCTACAGTTGACTGTGGTTTCTTTGTGGCTTGTTAACCGATAGGCTATCTCAGCAGTGAGTCCTTTTTGTATGCAGTCTCACTAGAGCGTAAACAGTGGGGATGGGAGATCGATCACCTAGGCGTTACCAAGACTAGTATTGTCGTTAGTTTAGTCTTCGCAGATTCAAAATCCATAACTAACACCACCACTTGCTAAAAGCAGACGCTAGCATATGGGGACATGAACCACGAGTGGATTGGCAACGAGTGGCTACCCAGCCTAGGCCTGCCGCAGTACCGCAGCTACTTCATGGAGTGCCTTGTAGATGCCCGGATGCTGGACCACCTGACCAAGAAAGACCTGCGAGGGCAGCTGAAGATGGTAGACAGCTTCCACAGGCAAGTGGGAGCTTGCTACACCTTCTCTCTCTGGCCCTAGGCCTGCCCTTTCATCAGCTCCGCATAACCTTTTTGTGTCTCTGTAAATAGAAACAGTTTCCAGTGTGGAATTATGTGCCTGAGAAGGTTGAATTATGACCGAAAAGAACTGGAAAGAAAAAGAGAAGAGAGTCAGAATGAGACAAGAGGTGAGCTCCTGTCTGGGCAGTTGTCTGGCTTCTGCAGGCAGTGCTCTAGCCTCAGTGGGGTGGAGCATCTGCCAGGTAGCACCAAGAGGGGAGGCACTGGCCTAATGTGAGAAGGGAGGAAAAGGAATGATCTAGAGCTTGCCAGTACACAGTCTGCAGTCCTGGTATTTTTCCCGTGACCTTAGAGTTTTCCTTTGGTCATGTGTGTCCTGTGTTGACACTTAGAAATGCAGAATAGAGCTGAGTCTGCTGCATAGTCACTGGAATAAGTGTGAAATGCAGGGCTGTGGGGTATTCAAGGGTCTTGACTCCATAGGAAAGGCAGGAGGCCCTAAGACTGCCCTCAGTCAGCCCTTGAAGACAGCAACACGGGTGAGGGAGGGAGTACATCCAGGAACAGTCCTGCAAGAATAGGGACTGTAGGGTGGCTGCTCTCCTCCTCTAGGGCCTTCTTTCCTGCTGCAGCCCCAGTGATCCAGTTACTGGCTCGAGGAGAAAGTCTCAGAAGTCAGGAGGTTATTGGTGATCCTAATGTTGGTATTGAGCTGAGTGAGCACTAGATGCTGTTCTAGTCTCTGTCTCTACTCTCTTTGCTGTTTACTACAGCCCCAGAAACACTGTTTTTAATAGGAAAAAATATGCAAAAACAAAACAACAAAACTAGAGGTGAAAATGTGTGGGAGAGAGCATGGTGCTTGTGAGCATGTGTGAGTGCACATGTGAGTATATGGGGGTATAGCTCAGTGTATAGCCTTTTCCTAGTGTCTCACATGTTAGAGGGCCTGTACTTGAACTATGGCATGTTTAAAATAAAGAGAAAAACAGGAGCAAACTGTCTGAGATGGCACATTTGAAGGGTAGTTTGCTCAGATGACTTACTTTGAATCCTGGGATTGACCTCTTTTTTTTTCCAGAGCAGCACCTAGGTATAAAATGTTAAGTCTGCTGCACTGTTTTCAGTGGTCCTCTGTCTTTCTACACTTGACAGGAACTGTCTTTGGAAATGCTTGGGCATATTTTTAGACTATCTATTTTTAGGTCTCCATTATTACTAGTGGAGTACTGTACTTGTCACAAGGTGTGACCTCCAGCGCTTCTGTGCTGGATAATGTCTTTCAGTTTCTCTGTGATGAGTACGAGGCTTGGTGATTTATGTTTGTGACCCCCTAACATTCAGGAAGCTAAGGCATAAGGACCAAGTTAGTTCAAAGCCAACTGAGGCTTCATAGTGAGACCCTGTCTTAAGAAATTTTGGGAAAAACATTGAAGATATTTGTGTCATATGCTGGCTAGTTCTGTCATCTTGACACAATCTAGAGGCACTGGAGAGAGGGGAGCTCAATTGAGAAAATGTTTCCATAAGATCCCGCTGTTGGCAAACCAGAAGGGCATTTTCTTAATTAGGGAAAAATCTGCTTTGGTACTTGGGTTTGTAGAATGCTATCCTATTCTGTTCCTGGAAGTGCAGTGAGATCTGTCTTTTTCCTGGCTTCCCTGGAGCAGTTCCTCCGGTGGGTTCTTAGGGTGATGTGGATAGGATTCCTTTGTGAGAGGTGTGATGTCTGTGATGCTGGTACCTGACTTGGGTCTGTTTCAGGAGCACAAGGTCAGGATTTGTAGCAGGAACCTTTCTCCTGTGCTGCAGGGTGTGGTGAGCATAGTATTCCGAGGCTATCATACACTTGCTTTATTCTCTTGCAGATGTTCTTGTTTGGAGCAATGACCGGGTGATTCGCTGGATCCTGTCGATTGGCCTTAAAGAGTATGCCAACAATCTGATCGAGAGCGGTGTTCATGGAGCACTTCTAGCCCTAGATGAGACTTTCGATTTCGGTGCCCTGGCACTGTTGTTACAGATTCCAACGCAGAATACACAGGTGACCCTAGAGCTGTCAGGCCTGTACCTTGCCACAATGTTCCAGAAGCCGTGCTTGCACATGCTCACTTGTCTCCTTGAGTTCAGGGAAAGCCTAACATTGGATTTTTATAGCTTGTTAGTGAGGGATTTTTATAGCTTGTTAGTGAGGGACTGTCCAGAGTCGACAGAGGCTTAGCTTAGCCTTATACTCTCATCTGCATGGTTTCTGTTTCAAGCCTGAGGGATTTTAGAGTAAAATGAGGAGAGCCTCCATTCATAAGAGTGGGGCTCACACACACGTACTTACTTTTTTTATTTTTTTTTTTTATTTTTTTAAGCGTACCACATGAAAGCTCTATTATTTTTACTTCTGTGGTAGTTGTTTTATGTAATTCTCTTTGCTTCATGACCAAATTTGAAAACGTGGAAATTCTATTCCTCCACACAACACCAACTTTGGCGCCTACTCCTAGCCATCAGCATAGCACATACTGTTAGCAGAGGCTGCTCGTTCATTTTCTGACCACCCAGACCCGAAATAATCATGCAGAAGACATATTAATTATAATACTGTGTGGCCAATAGCTTAAGCATATTTCTAGCTAACTCTTACATCTTAAATTAACCCACTTCTATTATTTTATATTTTAATTGTCCTGGCGCCCAAGCATCTCTCTCCTCCGGCAGCTACATGACATGTCTTTGATTCCACTTACTTTCTCCTCTGTCTGCTTGGAATTCCCGCCTTACCCTATCTTACCAATGGTATTTACAACATAGAGAGGGGAATCCATCATTGCCTCCCCTTTTCTGCCTAACTAAAAAGGAAGGTTTTAACTTGAACATAGATTACATAAAACAGCAGTCAGGTAAGAATTATAGTTATAACATTTAGTCCATTTACATTTGGCAAATTAAGGAAAATACTCAATCATCTGTCCTATCTTTGTGAGTTTAAAGTTTTATATTTAATCTATCTTTTATCATAACTAAGGAAAAATATAACTATTTTTAACTCTTCAAAGACCTCAGATGGATATATTACGTAAGTTAACAAGAAGAGCATTGTAAGCAACTTTAAAAACTCTTGAATTGAAAGAGACATTTCACCACCTGGACAGTCACCTAAAGTTCTTTTGTAACATTGGGGCATCCATCTTCAGCCTACAGGCCCATAGTGTCCGGCAGATTTTTCCATGAAGTAGGAAATTTGAAAGACTGTTTTGCCTCTTGTCAGTTAATTTTGTGTCTGTCCCATAGAATATCTGGCAGATCCTTTTCATGAAGCAAGAACCCTGAAGGACAGCCTTACTTTTTTTTTTTTTTTTTTTTAAAATATTTATTTATTATTATGTATACAATAATCTGTCTGCGTGTATCCCCGCAGGCCAGAAGAGATCACAGACCTCATTACAGATGGTTGCAAGCCATCACATGGTTCCTGGGAATTGAACTCAGGACCTTTGGAAGAGCAATGCTCTTAACCTCTGAGCCATCTCTCCAGCCCCCCCCCTTCTCTATTCTACCCACCTGTTTTTGAAGCACTGGCTCACTATGTAGTGCAAGCTGTTCTTGAACTTGC